GAAAAAAATGCAGTTAGATTGGAGATAATTATTGTATTTTGAAGTTCTAATACATTTTAGAGTGTAAAAATGTATTTTTTCAGTTGGAGATGTCCTTACAAGACTGCCTACCTGGACGTTCCAATTACCCTCAACAGCAGTCGAGAAAGAAAACTCAGCACCCATTCCACCGGCATCGCCGCTATGCTTCGCCCAGCGCTGCTCAAAGTTAGTCAACACATCACGCGCAGCAGCACCCGCAACACAGGCATGAGCATCATGCCATGCCTGCCGTGGCCCACCACGACCAATCCCAGCTCCGGCTATGCTTGCTTGGTAAAAATCCTCAGCATCAAGCGTGCGAAACAGAGAGTGCTTCTCATTATCATATCGCCCGTCGCAGAGGTCGAGGCCGCCAACGAAGCTGAGGAGCTCGCGGCGAGGAGAAGTGGCGGCGGTGGTGGTGGTGGTGGAGATGCCGAGATAGCGGAGGAGGTGAGGGGAGGCATCGGAAGTGATGGTTTTCTGGTGGTGAGTGAAGAAGGAGGGGAGGTGGGAGCGGCGGGGACAGAGGCGGCAGAGGACTTTTGTGTGGCGGAAGAAGGAGAAAGCGTCCTCGTCGTGGGTACGCATAAAACCAGAGTTTTTTATGAAGGGAAGGGAGGTCTCGTCATCCCAAAGAAGGATGCAGACGGCGACGCCCTCGTCGGCTTTGCGCTTTAGAAGGTGGCCGAGTTTGACTCCGATTGCCGCCGGAATAGTTGAGTGGGGATCTCTTACCTGCGCTTCCGATTAATTGCTTTACTCATCCAAACTTTTAACAATATTAAAACATTATAAATATAATGTTTTTTTCTTATATGCAAGTAAGATTTCGTATTACTATATTACATTATTACTCCAATAAATTTACACATCAATTTTTTTTTTAATATATTAGAGTTTGAAATCGACATATATGCATGCATTCGACCCACTTTCTTACGGGATGATATAAATATTAAAATGATAAAATAAAAAATAGGTATTCTTTGATATATCAATTTATTTGAAAAAAATATTATTATTCTAAGTTATAAATTTAGGAAAAAAAAAAACTTTCACAAGGGCATAACAAACCTTAATTTTTAGGAAGGGGAAACTTATAAGTAATTGTTGATGTTGCTTCAAATTTGGCTAGACCCTTAATTACAAGAAAACGAATCAATAGCGACTCATATATATTTATATCCTTGATCATTGTAAGTTTTGTAGATATATCGGGGGTCCAAGGGGGCAGCACCCCCTGGTGGGATTCGACTTGCCCGATCAGAATATTTTTAGTTGTAAGGATATTTTTTTAATTCAAATAAATAAATAAAATAATGAATTTTATTTATTATTTGCGAGAGGGCAATTGTCTAAAAATCTTTATAATAAAAATTAAAAAATAAATAGAGGGGGACAAATTACCTAAAAAAAAATAATATAACAAGAATTTTTTTTTTGGGGGGCAATTTCCCCAAATCTAAAGGAGGTTCCGCCCCTGCTCACTCAAGCCAATATTTTTTTTTAAGAGTACCAACACAAACTTAAACTAAATAAGATTTAGCGTTTGCTCAGGCCAACTTTACAACTACTTTGTTTTTCAGACATCAATTATAATTTTATTTAGCTATTGCTTTCTTACCGCTTTTAAAAAATTAAGTTACTTTCTATTAGAACAACCAAATAAATCATTAAATTAAATTACCATTTATTGTATACGTGTCATTATTCTATTAGCTGATATGTATCTCTTAGGTTATATATACCACACTCTGTACATGAATAAGAGAAGCTTTTACATTCTCCTTTCTACCTATCTATGTATTGCTTTCTTGCCTCTCGGTCTTTCCGGTTCTACATGGTATCGATGACCTAGGTTCGCTGATCAGCTCCGATGACAGATTCTATCTCCTCACAATTCCACGGTAGCGCGACGGATGAACACCAGGAGCCGTATATGATCCCTTCCACCCTCAAATTTGTGGTTTCTAACATCAAGAACATCATCCCGGTATCTCTCACTCAAGAAAACTACGCGGTATGGTGACCCAAAATACTCAAACTCTTTCGAGCCAACGGGTATGAGAAATTTCTTGATTCTTCTACCTCTTCTCATCATCCTTCCATTCTTGGCTTGGACGGATCTTCTCAATCGAATACTCAATATCATCACTGGCATATCACCGATCAAAACCTTGCTGCATATTTGTGTTCAACCATTTCTACATCTATTCTTCCATACGTTGTTAATCTTGAATCTACTTCCGCCATTTGGTCCACTCTTGCACAACGATTTCAAGCCACCAACATATCCAAAGTTTTCCATCTTAAAAACACTCTTCACAATATCTCATTCAAGAACACGATTGATTCAATACCTTTCAGAAATCAAGATTCTTGTCGATCAAATTGCTGTCGCGGGAGCGGAAATTGACAGTGAGGATATCATTTTATATATCTTGAATGGATTACCACCTACCTACCAATCTTTCAAAACATCTATACGCACAATGCTTACTCCTATCAGCCTAGATCAGCTATATCCGCTTCTTCTCAGTGAAGAAATTCACATTGCGTCTGATGCTGCCAAGCACAGTCCAGCCGGTGATCCAAATTTCGCTTTATACACGAATCGGGGTCGTGGCCGCCGCAACAGAGGTCGATCTTCTTCCTCCTCCAATCAGCAGAACATATCATCTACCAATCTGCCAATTACATGTCAAATTTGTCTAAAAAGGGGACACTCTGCCTCTGACTGCTGGCACAGACTGAACGCGAACTATGCTCCGACTCCGTCTCAGAATTCAAATCGTGCTCTGGTAGCTGCCGATGAAACCTCTACAAATTCTTGGTTTCTTGATTCAGGTGCTACATCTCATCTCACGAACTCCATGGACAACATGTCAATTTCCCAACCCTATGGCAGCTCTGACAGGATCGTGGTAGGAGACAGTAGATCCATAAGCATCGCAAATTCTGGGGTCGGGTTACTGCCGCCCCCCTCCAGTAAGCTAAAATTATCAAGCATCCTTCATACACACAAGGTTTTCGTTATTACGTTGTGTTTGTGGATGATTTTACGAAGTTTTCATGGGTCTTTCCAACGCATTTTAAGTCTGATTTATTTCAAATTTTTACTGTTTTTAAATATCAAGTTGAGAACTACACTTCTTCGTCTATTAAAACCATAAGAACAGATGGAGGCAAAGAGTTTACAAGCAACCAATTTCAATCCTACCTCCGCATCCACGACATTATTCATCAAATGTCCTGCCCGTACACTCTGGAACAAAACGGGGTTGCGGAGCGCAAACACCGGCACATCATTGAGACCTCTAGGACTCTTCTTAACACTGCCAGTATACCCTATATCTATTGGATGGAAGCTGTTTTAACTTCAATTTATCTGATAAATAGAATGCCTTTTGCTCCTACCAGTAATATCTCTCCCTTTGAACTTCTCCATAGAACCAAACCGCAATATGATCATCTTCGTGTCTTCAGATGCGAGTGTTTTCCTCTTCTCCCCCCTCACTCAAGACACAAGTTCCAACCGAAATCTAAACCGTGTGTGTTCTTGGGCTATTCCGATACTTACAAAGGATATAACTGCCTCGATACTACGTCTAATCGGATCATTATCTCTAGACACACCACATTCAAATAAACAAAATTTCCGTTCCAAAACATATATCCTGATTCCTGTTCTTCTCCCAACTCGGGCATTCCTCCGTTTTTACTTCAACCTACATCCAAGGCTATCCAAATTCAGCCAACTACCTTACCTGCTAGCAATTTTCACATCCCACCATCTGCTGTTTCCTACAACCAACAAAATATTTATGGAAATTCTCAGAATGCTTTTACCACGTCTTCACCTGCTTCCATACCTTCTCCTACCCTTTATAGCAACCCTGCCGGTCCAACTGCTCCTCATAATACGCATCCCATGGCTACTAGAATCAGAACTGGCTCGATTAAACCCAGAATTCGATTGAATCTTTTTCATAACAATGATTTACAGGACCATTTGCAGGCCCCTACATCATACTCAGAAGCAGTGAAACAATCAGAATGGAGAAACACTATGGCTATGGAATTTCTAGCCCTACAACAACAGGGAACATGGAGCTTAGTCGAGCCACCACTAAATTCATCCATACTTGGGAGCAAATGGACTTATCGTATTAAACGTCATGAAGGTGGCTCCATAGCAAAATACAAGGCTAGATTGGTAGCCCAAGGAAATCATCAGGAATACGGCCTGGACTACACTGAAACTTTCAGTCCAGTGGCCAAACTTCCGACGATTCGCATTTTGCTTACTATAGCTCTTCACCATGACTGGCCTGTGCAGCAGCTAGATGTCACCAATGCTTTCCTGCACAGAACATTATCGGAGCAGGTCCTCATGGCGCAACCCAAAGGTTTCGAAGATTCCATACATCCTGGCCACGTCTGCCAACTGAACAAAGCAATCTATGGGTTGAAACAAGCACCTCGCCAATGGTATAACACGTTCACCTCATATCTTGTTTCAATTGGTTTTGTTCACAGCAATGCCGATCCCTCTTTATTAGTGTTTCGCTGCAAAGAAGTTCAAATTTATCTACTTGTGTACGTGGATGACCTGCTTATTACTGGTAACAATTCCAAAGAAATAAATAACGTGATATCCAAACTTCATATGCAATTTAATATGAAGCATCTTGGACACGTTCATGATTTCTTAGGAATTAAAATTGAGCTCCAAAAGAAGTCTTACTTTTTTATCTCAACAGCAGTATGCGGAGTCTATACTCAAACAAGCAAATCTCCAAAACTGTAATACATTGGCCAACCCAAATTGCACAAAACTGTCGTCTGTTATTCCAGAAATAACGTCTCTGTCCGATCCTACGCTATACAGACGGATTACTGGGTCTTTACAATACCTAACACTAACTCGTTCGGATATTGCTTTTAGCGTAAATCAACTTTCAAAACACATGCATGATCCCAATCCCGAGCATATCTACCTTCTAAAAAGGCTACTTCGGTATATTAAAGGTACGATAAACTACGGTATTCAATTCGTTAAATCTAATCTTGTGCTTCAATCCTATTCTGATGCAGATTGGGCGGGAGATCCAAATTCCCGCAGATCTACATCAGGATATTGTTCTTTCCTCGACAACAACATCATTTCCTGAACAGTCAAAAAGCAACCCACAGTTGCACGATCTTCCACGGAGTTAGAATATAGAGCATTAGCTGCCTTAACATCCGATGTGATATGGCTTCGACGTCTTCTAGCAAATTTCGGCATACCTCAAAATCAACCGACCAAGATGTTCTGTGACAATAAGTCAGCTATTGCACTGGCAAACAACCTAGTCTTTCACGCCAGAACAAAGCATATAGAGATAGATCAGAAATTCATCCGGGACCATATACACAATCACAACATCAGTCTACTTCCTATCAAGACAATTGACCAAACAGCTGATATATTCACTAAAGCTCTATCAACTCCCAGATTTATTACTCTCAGACACAAACTGACGGTTCAACAGTCCCCATCAGTTTGCCGGGGAATATTAGAACAACCAGATAAATAATTAAATTAACTTACCATTTACTGTATACGTGTCATTATTCTATTAGCTGATATGTATATCTTAGGTTATATATACCAGACTCTGTACATGAATAAAAGAAGCTTTTACATTCTCCTTTCTACCTATCCGTGTCTTGCTTTCTTGCCTCTCGGTCTTTCCTTTAGCTATTGATTTCTTACCACTTTTCAAAAATTATATTACTTTCTACACACTAACTTTACAATTAAATAAAAGCACCACAAACAAATCATCAATCTCAAAACTAACTACATCAAACAACCACATTATATTATTATATTTCTCTTTGTCAAAAAATAATAAACTTATATATCATCAAAATCTGAATTAATTATAAAATTTGCTGTATTGTTTTATTTTTCAATAATTTGATCATATACATATTATATATATTTTTTATTATTTTCTTTTATTTAAAATGACAACTTTAAAATAAAATTAATTTCATGGCATAGGTGTAAATCTTGTAAATTAAAAAAAAAATGGAAATTAATACTTACAAGAACCAAGTTGGGATTAAGCGACCAGCCAGCAATACACACCAACTTCTCCGCACCATCAATAACTCTGTACACATCTTCCCACAGCCGCCTCGGCCTGTACTCCCCCGCCGGAACCCTAAACTCCTCTCCATGATCCGCATCCTGATACAGCAAAACCCCGCAATTCTCCCTCTCCGGAAACGACCCCAACACCCTATCCATCATCGCATCCTTCCCCCAAAACCTCACCGAGAACTCCAACCTCCCTTTGAAATCCCTCCACTCCCCCTCATCGCCCATCAACTCACTCGCCAAAATCCGCACCTTGGCTAGCACAAGCAGCCGCGCCCTCAGCGCCACCGTCACAACGGCGCCGGCCGAATGGGCGCACAAGATTCTGAAGCTTTGGTTCCATTCATGGTGGCGGTTGCGGGTGGTCTCGGCGACCGTTGTGTCGTCGATGTGGATGGTTACGAAGGCGGTGAAGCTTGATGAGAGAGGTGCGGCCTTGTGGATTATGGCCTCGAGGGTTCCGTGGAAGTAGTTAGTGGCCATTTTGTTTTGTTTATTTATTCGTTTTTGGTTGATGGTATATATATGGGGGTGGATGATGGTGAATGATTGATTTGGTTGGTGAGAAGGAAGGGGGAGGGGGAGTTGTTCTTAGAGGCGAAGTTAGGATGGGAGTTTGCTGGAAGAAATGCATAAGGTTAGTGGGATGGGACGGAAGCACGCATCACTGATTTCAAAATATATCGGGTTGGTGGGTCGTGTCGGCCTGTCGGGTCAAATTCGGATTGACAATATTGATCAGTTTGTAAAATCTGATCGGTTTAGGGTCTATTCGTTCCAAACTCAACCCTCGGACTTGTTTGGACACCCCTACGTATCAGTTGTCTTTAATTCTTAATCTTTGAATTGTTTAAGGGAAGGGAAACAAATGGATAGGAATATGATGATTTTTATTAGGAGTGTAAATTAGTCGAGCTAAGTTCGAGTCATTTTAGGCATGAGCTTGATTAATCGAGTTCGAGCTCGAGCTTTATTCCACGAGTTTGAGACTGTTTGTTTGTAATGAAAGAGAGAAAATGATTATTAGACAAAATAAAAATAAAAATAAAAAATAGAAGAAAAATAATAAAGAATTACTTAATATAAAAAAATGAAATATAATTTTAAATATTTTATCTTTAAAAATATGAATGTTAATATATTTTAAGTGCATTTTATATTAATATATTTTAAACAAGCTAGCACATAATAAGCTAATAAGCCAACTCAAGTCTGACTCAAGCTTGACTTCTTAGCTCATTGAGCTCACCTCACAAGCCATTTATCTAGTCAAGTTGGAGCTGGTTTGACTCTCTTACACCCCTACTTATATCTCTTTGTTTAGACAAATAACTTTTGTAAAACATTAGTTAAATCTATAAAATTTACAGCTTAAATTTTAGTTGAATCCTTTCACCCTATCTGTGTTTGAAATCTTATGCTTCATGTGGGGTGATTTTTTTTATTATTTTTTAAAGCAAATTTTTAAAAATTTTTGTACTAAAAAACTGCTTTATAAAACATTAGTAATTCTAACTAAAGTACTGAAATGTTCTTCTGTTCACAGTTCTGCTACTAGGGAGTAGAGTGGCGGCATCAGCAGCTTCAATCTCTGCAACAGAAGAGGCTCGTGCTTGGCTGATACTTGCATGGGTGAGCACAGTGGCCGGAAATCTCTCTCTTCTTGGATCTGTTGCAAACATGATGTCTGTGAGCAGGCTCAAAGGGCTCAGTTTTATGGTTATAATCTCTCCTTTTGGTACCACTTAAAGTTTGGAGTTCCTTCTACTATTATTGTCACTGCAATTGGTTTGCCCCTCATAATGAGTTACTGATCTCAAACTGATTCTGCTTCCTACAGTAAGTGGCATATCGTATTCAGTTTGTCAAAATTTAGGATATGAAGAAATTGCTTTGAAGCAGAACCAAGTTTATCCTTTTTTTTTTTTTATAGTCTGATGTTACTTCATCATGTAGTAAACTGAAAAGCTTCAGTATCTTTCGAATTCGTAATGATAAGTAAAGTAGTTTTCTTGCCTAAAAAAAAAAAAAATTAGGTGTGGTATTGTCAATGAGATCACAAGATTGGTGGGGATGGCATGCGGTTTAAGGTTAGCCTACAGGGGGTAAAATAAATCTTAATTTTTAGCGTGGACAAAATAGGATTGTAAAGTACATAATTATATAAATGAAATAGGAACTTCATAATATGATTTCTCTAAACCAATAAATATTATTTGCATATTCTCTTAAATCTCTCTATATTTTTCTATCAAACTCGATAAATGTAAAACTTGTATATCACACCTATCTAGCTCGAATTCAAATTTAAAACGATCCATCTTAATTCCCTTAACCCTAAATTATTCTTTCAATATTTGATTGCTCTCAATCATTTCAAATTATACTATTTTAGGATCTTGGATTAATTTAATTGCAATGCTTGATTTGACTATAGAAATGCGAGATTTTAAAATTATTTGATCCTCCAATTAATATCCTACAAATTTTTGTTATGCTTCCTCTGCTTGATTCAGACCAATTTGAAGCTTGATTGGATCAATTTTAATGTCAATAGGTTTGACTCATTTAGAGATTCATTATAGCGATAGTTTTGTTAAAAAATGAGTTACAATTATCCTCAATATATATTCATAAGTTTCTAATTTAATACTTGATTAAGTTGACTTTTGTTGACGTAATAATTTTCTCATATTTTCGAACAAGGAGGCTTGAAACGTATGAAAGTATATAATAAATCTTCAAAAAATTTAACGGATCAACATGACTACTCCCTAGTCATCAACATGAATCTTTCCCTAGAGACCATAACTAAATAAATTATAAATCATAAGTGCAACTTTTTCTAAAATTGACACATCAAATAGAGTAAGAATTATAGAAAATTTTACTCCAAACTTAATAAGTGCAATTAAGACTAAAATATTGAAGAAGAGTCATATAAACCTGCAGACCATTGCCATTGCTTTAATTTTTCTCCACAAACGACACAAATATTATTCTTTGATAGTTTAAAAGATGTCGGAGAAGATCAACACATATAGTCCCTACAATAAAGCTATGATCTTCAATTGAAAAAGGTTTGGAATGTAATCATCGAATGAATTGGGTATAGAGATTCAAGGCCCACAATTTCTATGACGAGGCTCTAATCTTACTCTGAAAAAAGAAGATGACTCTCATCATCAAATAAATCGGGTTTTGAGACAGTCAAGATCACAATCCTTGTAAAGAAGCTTCAATATTGTATTCACAAAAGAATTGACTGCCCATGTTGAATGAATTATATTTGGAGGTGATCGAGGCTCATAATCCCAACAAGGAGGTCTCAATCCCCCATCAATTTAAGATCTTTCAATCTCCAATGGATATTCTTAACAAAGTTTTTATATTATTCTAAAGCATTTTGAGAAAGGTTTATCCATTATTATTAAGGACAACATGCACTATAAATTGTTCTAACAAGTCTATGCCCCCAATATTTGTTTCACCAAAAATTCTCATAAAAAAATCATACTACCATAACCCTTTTTACTTCTCGATTGAAGTGAGAATCACCTAGGGAAAAAATTCATACTTCATCATTAAGCTTGAAGGTTTTTTAGTGATATCATTTTAGTGATCTAATTCAAAACAAATCCGTGAGATCGGTTGGAGTAATCGTTTGGATCAATCAAATCAAAAAAATCTGAAGTTTCTAAATCACAAGTCACAACAGCATAAACTACATTCAAAACAATGAAACGATACAGAAATCTTCTCAAATATGAACAAATTAAAATTTGTAAAAGTTCATGAACACTACCCATAGATGCTGGAGAAATCAATTTACTCAAAAAAAGTTGAATGGTTTATAGATTCCAGGTATTTCACTTGCACAAAAACTAACTACAAAAAGGGCATAAAAATACGAACCACGAAACAGGGGAACTTGAAAATCCAAAGAAAAAGAGAGAGAATAAGAAGGATGTGGGCATAATAGCGAGCTGAGAACCGGTGAAAAACCAAGCTCTAGCTTTCTGAAATGCAACGCTCGATCTCGGATCCTTAAACCAAAAACCATTTTACAGGTTTCTTCCAACTCTCTCTCGGCTTATCCAGGCAAAATCAAGAGAGAAGGAAAAGATCCTACTAGGGTTTTCCTCGATCACTGGCTTAAATAGGCCGTCCAAGTGTTCTTCCTTAAGGAGCTGCTAAGGCCGGCTTAGGACAGCCTTTTATTGATTTTTAATTAATTTTTTAGCACAAAATTTTTTAATCAAAAACATTTTATATTAAAAAATTATTTGAAAAAGATATTATTATCCAGGATTTGAAAATCGGACCGGACAATGAACCGGAAGAAGAAGAGGTTAGCAGTTCGATGGTTCGACCGGGGTCGAACTGGGGTCGAATCGGATGATGTAATAAATATTTATTATATATAAATATTATAATATTTATTTATTTTTATAGTTTGACACGATTCAACAATATAAATTTTTATCAAACAAATACAAGATGCCAAAATGCTAAACTCCACTTGCACTAAAAATTTGAACAGATTTATATTCTTTACAGTACAATACATTTGCAACCATTTAAACAGTTTTGATGCCAACATTCGAACAGAGGTTGGAATTTTGGTTTATGCTTGTGTGTGAAATAAATGGCGTGAGTAACAGAGAAGGATGGGAGCAGTAAGTGATCGTGTGTAAAGATTTATAGCCTTGTGATTTCAAACTTTGAGAAAATCTAAACAATATAGTAAATCAGGTTAAGGAAACACAATCCAAGGAGAAGTAATATTGTATTACAGCGTTTATAAAAACAAATCCAAAATTCATAAATCAAAAGTTGCTTTTAGGTATTGAAATGCTCAAATGCCACCACAATCTCACAAAAGTCGATAATGCATACTCACCGCAAGCGATTTTGCTTCTCGAACTAGATGAGACGACGGAGGCGGAGAAGAAGACGACGGAGTCAGAGAAGATGAAGGAGGCGGAGAATGCCAGCCACGCGAGAAGAATATGGTTTTTTTTTTCTCGTGCCACATGAGCGAATACAAAGAGTTTGCTGTCCGCTCATAACGCATCCCAACCGGCCATTTTTTTTAGCGAACAGACCGGTTACAGGAAACCGGAACCGGTTCAGCGGTCGAACCGCAGGTTCGAGTGGTTCGACGCCGGTTTTTAGCAAAACAGGTTTTAGTTTGACACGTGACCGACCGGTGAGCCGGTTCGCGGTTCAACCGGTTGAACCGGCCGGTCTGGTCCGGTTTTAAAAGCCTTGGTGAAATCTAAATTTTTTAATTACATCTAGGACTATAATTAAAGATTTTATAAATACTAAGATTTAATAATGTATATGTACATATATAGAAATAATATTTTAATTGTATATGTGAACTAAAAAGATATGATATTCCGTGGCGCATAAGAGTAAGGAAATCCACCCAATTTTGAATTGAATAAATAGATAAATTGATAATAATAAGAAAATGTACTTTAATAAAAGAATTATAATTAAACGATAAGATCAATTTTAGTAAACAAAAATATGTCTAACTTAAATAAAATTAATTAACATTAAAATCTTATAAGAAATTATGTATGATTATGGGCATTAAACTAAATGAGACGGAGTTTAAAAATTAAAGGACCAAAGCAAGTTTTCTAAAAATAAGGTGGGTAATTATATTTCTATGT